GCAGGTTTGATCCCCGCTCTGGTCAGGGGGGCACAGGGGAGGCAAACCTCTCTCATATCGATGTTTCTCTTCTCTCTCCCCTTCTTCTCTCCTCTCCCCCCCTGGCCCCCACCCCTTCCCTCCCTTTCCCCTCTAAAAAATCCAATGGAAAACAATTTCCTCAGGGGGAGGGCCTAAAAAAAAAGGCGGGAGGGGGATGGGCTTTTCCAAACCCTGAGAATGAGTAAGAAGAAACCTGGAGGGGGCAGCTTCCTATCTTCCAGTCCCCGGTCCCCCCCCCCCCCCACCCCGCCCCGCCCCGCTCCGGCCGGCCAGGGCAGCAAGGTGTGCTGAGTGTCAGAAACACCTGGTCTGAGTTCCGGGCTCCAGCCCCCCGGGGCCAGGCCTCTCGCAGCCTGAGCCCATCTCGCTCAGCACCATCACCTGCTCTCCCCACGCCCAGGCCCCTGCCCTCCGGACACTCACATCAGCGTGGTCTTGTCTTCCAAAGTACATATCCGAGGAAATGGCTTTGACGTTGCCAAACTTCTTCTGGGCCTCATCTGTGTTTCCCACGGGCTCATAGTCTGGCTTGCGGCGGGTAGTAGGCCTGCAGTGAGGAACAGCCGAAATCGGAGTGACATCAGCAAGACGGCAGAAGAGGAGCTTTCCGCCAGCCTGCTCCTCCCGACCCCGATCTCAGTCCCCCCTGGTGGGGTCGAGTCCAGCAGAGGGGCCAGCACACCGGGGGCCAGCAATGCAAGATGGGGCGCACTGACGAAGGCGAGGGGAGCAGTTTCACTTGGCCCCCAAGATGGCACAGCTCGGTGCCAAGAGAGACCCGCTTGGCCCACAACTTCTCCCGTGGGGGAGGTGAGAGGGCAGTGAGTGGTGCCTGGTCCTCCGCTGTGTGGGCACGGCCACGGGCTGGGAGAGGCTGGCAGCACCGGGTCCTACTAAACACTTGGCAGGCTCCACGGGAGGCCGGCCCACAGCCTGCTGGGCACTTTATCTGCAGAGCTGCCAACTGGCCCACGGTGCCGTCCAATGCTCTGCGCGCTTCACCACACAACCCTCCCCTCACCATGGCTGGCACCCTGCACCTGCAGATGGGGGTGCAAGCCTTTGCAGACAGCCAGTGAGCAGGTGCAGAAAGCCACCTGGTGCTGTGGGCCTGGGAGGAAGCACATGAACCTTGCATTTCAGGAGAGGAAACCCCAGGGAGGCTCCCAGCCCCGGCCTGGCTCTGTGGGGGTGAGAGATGTACCGTCTTCAGAATCCACCCCGGGAGGGAGGAAGTGCAGAGTGTGTCTGAGAAAGGGCGACTGGTGAAGGCACTTCTCACCCAGAGCCAGCCAGTCGCTAACTGGGGAGGAGGCGAGGCTTCCTCAAGGCAAAGGCAGCACACACGCCTCCAGGAACATGGAGTCAGGGAAACGCAACCCCACAGTCGCCTTCCGGTAGCTGCCCCCAGAACTGCCTGGCAATGAATTCAAAATACGGTTTTAAGACAGCTCGGCAACCTACAGGAATCGGCAAGACAGACAACTCAATGAAATCTGGAATGTTATACACTAACACTGAGGAGTTCACCAGAGACAAAGAAATCATAAAATAGAACCAGACAGAAACTCTGGGCTGAAGAATACAAAACTGCAACAGAGAGCGTCCACCTCCGACTTAAGCAGGAGAAAGAATGTGTGAACTGGAAGATAATTCATTGGAAATTACCCAGTCAGAGGAGAAAAAAAGAATGAAAAAGTGAAGAAAGCCTACATGAATTATGGGATGCTCTTAAGAAGATAACACATTATGGGAGACTGAGGAGAAGAGAGGGAGGAAGAGACGGAAAGTGTATTTAAAGAAATAATGGCTAAAAACTCCCCCAATCTGGAGAGAGACGGGGACATCCAGGTGGATGAAGCTCATAACCCCCAAACAGACCCGATCCAATAAACTGTCAGAGATCAAAGACAAGGAGAATGTTGGAAGCAGCAGAGCAGACACTCGTCACAGACAACGGGGCGCGGGGAGGCTGTCAGCAGGCTGCTCAGCAGAGCCCTGGAGGCAGGAGATAGTGGGTGATATTAAAGCTGCTGAAAGGCCCGGCTGGGGAGCCCCGTTGGCTAGAGCATCATCCTGAAATGCCAAGGTTTCAGGTTCAATCCCCCGTCAGGGCACATGCTCAAGTTTCGGGCTTGGTCCCCAGTAGGGGGCGTGCAGGAGGCAGCCGATTGATGTTTCTCTCTCATATCAATGTTCCTCTCTCTCTAAAATATCAATTAAAATATTTAAAGAAAAAACAAACAAACAAATAAAAAATAACAAGACACAACTACAGGCTGCCTTCAGGACACACATAGGTTGAAAGTTAAGAGACCAAAAGAGAGTGGGGATAGCCATATTTATATTAGGAAACACACGTTAAGCCAAAAACTGTAACAAGAGACAAAGGTCATGTAATGGTAAAGGAGGCAGTTCATCAAGAGTAATAACAATTGTAAATACATATGCCCCCAACAGATCTGACAGGAGAAACAGACAGTATGGCAACAATAAGAGACTTCAATACCCCACTTTCAACAATGGACACATCACCCTGACAGAAAATCAATAAGGAAAATTGCACTTGAACTGTATGTAGACCAAATGGACCTACAGACATATTGAGGGCATTTCATCCAACAGCAGCAGAACATGCATCTGAAGTGCACACAGAACATCCTCCAGGATACGTCACATGCTAGGTCACAGAGCAAGTTTAAATCATGTGAGGCCTTAACAAATTTAAAAAGATTGAAATCATATTAAGTATCTTTTCCAACCACAATGGTTATGAAAGTAGAAATCAACAACAGGAGGACAACTGGAAAATTCACAAATATGTGGAAACTAACACATTCCTGAACAACCACAGGGTCAGAGAAGAAATAAAAAATGTCTTGAAACAAATGAAAATGGAAACACAACATACCAACACTTATGGGCTATAGCAAAAGCAGTTCTAAGAGGAAAGTTTACGGCCAACAGGTAGGCACATGGAAAGGTGGTCAACATCACTGATCATCTGGGGAGTGCAAATCAAAACCACAGTGAGGTATCATCACCAAAAAGACAAGAGGTAAGCCCTGCCAGCGTCGCTCAGTAGTTAGAGAATTGGTCTTTCACACTGGAGGGTTGAGGGTTCGATTCCCTGGGTTGCAGGTTCAATCCCAGCTCCATCGAACTGCATGTGGGAGGCAACCAGTCGATGTGTCTCTCTCACATGGCTGTTTCTCTCTCTCTCTCTCTCTCTCTCT